TCCGGGGCCGCTCTCCGGCGCGCCAGGTCGCGGGGAAGCTGGGGCGAGGCGGCCCCGCTCCTGCCTCGGGCCACGCCCTCTTTTGCCGGGTTTGCTTGTTTGTGAATGTGCTCAGCGGGTCGTGGGTTTGAGAAGCGCCCTCGACGTGACTAGTGTAAGCAGCTGGCTCGGAAATAAGTCAGCCGCGGCCGCAAGTTGACGCACGGCCTCGGCTCGCACTCCCCGGTGCCGTCACCCGCTGTACTTTCCCTTTATCTGGTTGCAGCTTCTGCAGCCGCCCGGGCTCGGGGAAGTGCCGAGTGGTGGGCTGTGCGGAGGCGGTGTCCGGTGCAGATGTCACCGGCAGGATATGTCTTCTTCCAGGGATGCGTCCCTTGGTGTCTCACCGGTGCTGAAAATGCCAAAATGCGTGTGCAAGAGATAGGCTGGGAAGTAGAAAAGGGCTCGGCCTCCTTAGAGGACCTCAAATTCGTAAACGTTGAGTTTTTCAGCTCAGTGATCAACACAGCCTCTTGTTTGTGCCCCTCCCCCGCTCTTGACATCTCAAAATTCATTCTTTGACCATAGTGCCCATATCCACCCTTACCTGAACCCGTTCTTCAATAAAATGTGTTCATACCATGCCTATTCTCAGAGTTTCAAACTGAGGACATTGGTGCATCCTTCTTACCATACCTGAGAACTAGTGGGCTTTCTTGAATGTTGTGCCTTGTACTGACTGCCTATCTCTGGATATCCTGAGGTAGCACAGAATCTAAGATCATGGTCTGTGTTTGAACCCTAGAACCCCTAATTGTTAGCGCGTGCCCTGTGTCCGTTATTTAACCTCTTAGGTACCTCTTCCCTAGTTTGTACAACAGAGATCATAACAGCACAGATCTTACAGAGTTTTAGGCATCAAATGAGTTACGTTGGATGTTTTGCCTGTTGATTGCATGGCCTCCTGACAACCTGAGAGGTCTCTTTAGCTTAGTGTCACCTCTTCCATAAAACTCTCCATAACCCCACCCCCACCCCCAAGACAAAACTCCCTCTTCTGCAATGCTCATCCATCTCCTTGTTCTTACTGCTATGAGATGCTGGAAGGTAAAGACTTTCATTTAGGGTACCTGGAACATAAAGGTATTCATTCAATTACTTATATTCATTAGCAAGAATTTTTCATTTTGCATTTAAACTGTTTAAATTCATTTTCGGGGGGGGACTTTGCAATTGCCCCCATATCTTAGAAGGATACCACATTTCTGCACAGTCTCAAAGTATTTAATATTTATTTTTTTAAAGCCTAGGACCTTGTGGTTTTTAGCTTTTTTTTTTTTAAGAATAAAGATATTTTCTATTACCAAGGATGCCGGAATAATAGGTGGTTTGGAGAAAAAGTCTGTATGATAAGAGGAACAAGTAAGAGCTGACAACGTTAAATCTGGGATAGGATTCTAAGATTTTTTTGCCTGTTAACTCGTATGCAGTTCCAGAATGAACCATAGTATATCTACGTTTCTAAGAGAAATACAGTTTCTCATTTTTAGAAATGAATGTACATGCCAATCATCCAGGTTGTTCAAAAATAAAATTTGTAATGAAATTAGAAGGCTACAGAATGGGGGAAAGACATGCAAAATATATGACAGATGAAAAAAATTTTAATGGCTTTTACAAATCAATAACAAGAGATGCCTACACTATTGGTGGGAATGTGCAGCCCCAATGGAAAACAGTATGGAGAGCCCTTAAAAACTATAAATAGAATTACCATATGATCCACTAATCCCACTCCTGGGTATATATCTGGAGAAAATTCTAATTTGAAAAGACGCATACACTCCAGTGTTGGAAGCAGCACTGTTTGAAATAGCCTAGACGAGGAAGCAACCTAAATATCCATCAACAGACGGTTGGATAAAGAAGACAGACAGACAGACAGACAACACACACACACACACACACACACACACACACACACGAATATTACTCAGCCATTAAAAAGAATGAAATATATTGCCATTTGCAGCAACATGGATGGGCCTAGAAATTATCATATTAAGTGAAGTAAGAGAAAAACAAATATTATATGATATCACTTATACATGAAATCTAAAAAAAAGGATACAAATGAACTTTTTACAAACCAGAAATATACTCAACTTTTCCTTCATGTTTTTCCATCTATCACATTGTAGTACTCTTCTGAAGTTTTCATCAACTATTTTTTCTTTTGAATATATATTCAAACATTCTGTTCTTCAATAACCCAAAGCCCTTTCTTGTTCTGATTGTTTATTTTGCACCTTTTTTTTCACTTCATGGGTAAAAGGCCTCCTCTTATCTCTCTACAGATATTAACTATATTGCTTTTGAAGTTTTGTTCTGCTGTTTCCTGAACGTAGATCTTTTGCTTTTATGTTAGAACTTTCCACAAACATCTGGTGATCCTTGGCTATCTGTTAAGATTTTATCATACAAAAAGCTGGTTGATGGTTTTGTGTGCATGAAAGCAGCTTATTCACTGAAGTTTCACAGATGTGAGCTGGCAGAGAACCAGCTGATTCACTAAGGGGAGATCCCCCAGCGTCTGAACCTGCGACAATCCTGTTTTCCCAAGGAAGGATCGTTTCGTAACTGACTGCCAGTGTTCTAGAAGCAGGGCATTGTAAGCCTAAGAGTCCCACTAATGAGAGTTCCCTTTATGTACAGCTTCTGAATCCTTAACCCCTTTGTTTTCAGTCTTAGGTCTTAACAGCCCAGAATGACTCTCAAGTCTCACAATCAACCCATTTTTAACATGAGAATATGCTAAGAGGGTGAAGAGGTTTCAGTCATTCACCCGCTAGTATGAATTCATTCCTGCTCACTTTGCTTTTCCTCTGGTCCTTGTCTGATATCAACTGCTCTGAGGACATGGAAGTCCAATTGGTCAGGAAATGTGGAAATGTGGGAACTTTGAGGGCACAGAGTCCCTCAGCAGGAGATCAACTCAGAACAGATAAGGCAGACTGGGGAGGGTGCTGTAATCCAGGGCACTGGGAAATGGATGACACAAGGGAGGTGGAAAGATGGGAAAAAAAAGTTGACCTAGATTTAGATTGTGCTCAGAGCCAGGGCTCTCCCTCCTGCACTGCAAAGACCTGCACTCAAAGACCCAGAGCTCAGGTACAGTCACGGCTGGACAGCACTGACTCTGCAAGTGAACCTGAGGACCCAGTCACCCAGGGAAAGACGGTTTCTAGGGAAACACATCCTGCATCCAAAACACCCAGCTTACAAATGATCTTTTGGACCCTGTCCCGCTTGCAAACTGAAGCTTGATTTGCCTGTAACGGGCCAGCTCCGGCAGTGCCAAGGGAGAGAGGCCATTAGCAGAAATGAGAAGCAAGAAATCTTTCAGTCCATTAGGTTGAAAGGGGATTTTTTTCTATCTTTGATTATTTATGATTTGTGACTTCAGTTACTGTTTCCCGGAACAAACAAAATGTAACAGTCCTACTTCAGCTTCCTCACGAGCAAATAGATGCCTATCATCAATCATGCTGCAAACTGCTAAGCAGCCTGTCCTCAAGGCCTTTGGCGCTTGCTGTGGCCTCTTTTCATAGTTCTTTGATGTTTGTCAGGCAAGTTATTTTCTGTGCCTCAGACAGTTTCCAAAAGCTGCTGCAGTCTGGTGTGTGTGTGTGTGTGCGCGCGTGCACACGTGCATATATATATATACACATACACATATGTGTGTTTCTATTTTGCAAATGAATATAGGCAACTCAGTGACATGAACAAAAGCAGACTTTGCTTCTTACTTTAAGAAGGTCACTCCCTGAAAAATAGGAATTGGGGACCTCAAGGTTCTCCTGTGGCATCATTGAGGACTACTTGGGTGGCACCTAAGAAAGTCAGCAGGAAGTGGGGAGGGAAGGCCGGATAGAGTGAGCTCGGGGACCCCTGGAGGATGCTGTGATCCCCCTGCTAACTGCCCCAGCTTCTGCTGAAGGATGACATGGTCATGCATGTGGTCTCCGCACTGTTGCTGCATCTGAATTTACAGTTTTTCTTTCACGTTCCCCTTTTGCAGTCGCCAAGAAGACGGGGGAGGGGGGGAATAAATGAGACACAAGTGAAAGAGGAAGTGTCTCAGCACGAATGAAACATAAAACAGCCCACTCGATCGGTGACCTCTATGGAAATACTGAAGACAACCTCTGCGGCCTTTTAGACTTTCTCAGGGAAGGGACAGCTGCTACCCAGAAGCAACCAGCTTCCCTCTGGTCAGGTCATCATGGTCACCTGCCTGGAGGTGGAAGGAACTTGTGAGGGGAGGGTAGTCGGATGCGCCCAAGGCAGGGAAGGCCTCCTTGCTTTGGGTGGCCCTTAAGGCTTCTTCCGCAAGCTGGAATGCACTTAGCTTCCCATGGAGATACCCAGACTGTGTTCAGAGCAGGTGTCATCCAAGGGGGCCACCCTGGGACCATGAGCCCAGTTCACTTTCCAAGTCAGGCAGCAGCTCCCCAGTGAACACCTGTGGGGGCAGCTGGAGCTGACTGAGAGACAGGGAGGGACTGACAGCCCTCT